TCCTATGTTTATACATGTGATCAGTATTTGTACGGGAGACTATGAGGTTCGTTTCTCAAGCATATCCGACCATCTTATGTTTTGTTTGACCTGAACTTGGTCGGGAGTTAGGTACCCAAGATAACTAAACACATTTTTCACCCATAATAGGCTTCCTGACCACTTCTGGTCGGGAAAGACGGTTCCCATTTCCCAATCAAAAGGACTCTATTACTAAAGGAGAAGCACAACCCGATCGCATTGTCTGGTCACATGATGTTTATGTAGGTGTTAGGAATCTCAAACCACATGGAACTATTACGATCGCCGTTATCATGACCGGTGCGTAGAGGATACGTGGCCACCATGCTAAGCACTTGGCATGTATCCTCTCCAGATCCCTATATAAAGCACATTAATGCCGTCTCCAACAAAGACGGCAAACAATATTTTGGTGTAGGATTTGGCACAGATTCTTCTCCAACGAAGGCGCCAAATCCTCCGCCAAAATAGCGTTTGTCTACAATGCAGCGTCATACAGCGTTGCACTATAAATGAACGGCATTTTGGTGTAAAAGGATTTAATTCCTATTTTGCCCTTGGTTTTTTGTTAATTCTTTTTGTATCCTTATTTTATTTTTATGTATTTACATATATTGTTAAATAATTTAACATAAGATCTCATCAAGACAATTAAAACAAGACTAATACCATATATATATATAAATTAATAATTAAAAACATAAAATACATAAAAATTTTCATAAAATTAAACTAAATACATCATAAATTAATCAAAGAAGCGTATTATGCACTTCGTAATGCATTGATGGAACATATGTCGGAACGATATAATAATTTTAAAAATTAAATGAAATAGTTGTTATATGTTATATTATTGTGGAATAAAAATATTATTTGCATTATAGTTAAATTTATATTAAAAACAAAGTAAAAAATAAAATTTTAATTTATGAGAAACAAATTATTTTATTGTAGCAATAAAATTTGATGTAACGGGTTGAAGACTAATACAATTTGGTATAATAAAATGCTAGAAATATATATAATTGTACACATGTTTCAAAATATTTATATTGAATTATTGATTTAACTATCGAGATACAATTTAATATTGTATATATACTTTGTTTTTTTTTTTCAATCATGCCTTTTATGAATGAAATGTTATAATTATGTTTCTAAACTTTAACGTTTTATTTTTGAATTTCTATTAATTAGTGATACACGATTTTATTTTATTTCTGGATTTTTGTGCGTAATAATCTACTAATCCAGTATTTGATTTTATTATATTAAAAAAATAAAAGGATTAGTAATGAAAAGGTGAGGGGCAAAATCGACATTAAGCCGAGTTGGAAGGGGTATGATTGGAAAACAATACTGACATGGGTGCAAACTTTAATATAAAAAGTAAACAATGTAATGATGCCCCAAAAGCTGCGGCTTTGGAAAGGGAAAAGGATATTTGGGATCCAATCATGCTTCACTTCTTTTCATGTCTCTCCTATAATCTTTGTCTTTTTGTTTCTTCTTTTCTTTTCCTTTTTTTTTTTTTTTTAGCATAAACAATTTGTGAAAATTTTAATTGTGAAATTAGACGTCTCTTAATTTGGTAAATAATCCTGTTCAGATTCAAAAGCATATTCAACAATTTTAGTTATGATCTTATCAAATCAATGTGTATTAAATGCAAACAAAAAAAAATGATGTACTTTTTTCATATTAGTTTGAGTAAACTTTTGTTAAGTTTAATTTCTAGTTTTTTATGCGAGACGAATTAGACGAGTGACATTCAAACACAATACATGTGTTTCAATAAAATATTTAATATTATTTAAATAATTAATTAACCGTATAGTGTAAGAGAGAATTGCAGGCATGTTACAAAAATTAGAATTTTGTGTCTGCGTGTTATACTAAAAAAAAAAAAAAAGATTAAGGTAATTCCGTGTTTTGCACGTCAGGGTGGCCGATAGTTGGTAGCCATCCTGAATGATTTTTATTTTTATTTTTATTTTTATTTTTGATAAAGAACTAAACATGATAATGCCACAATATGAAAATAATACTAGGATCAAAGGTGATGTTAAAAAAAAAAAAAAAAAAGACTAGAAGTGAAATACCACCTATAAATCTTGCTAGGACCAAAAATAGAATTAACTCAATTAATTTTCTAAGCATATGTTTGCAAGGAATAAATTTCTTCGAAAAAGTAATTAATATATTTCGTGTTACCCTATAAACATAAAATTACATTACTTAAAAATTTATTTGGGATAAGGGTCAAATAGATCCTCTAATTATATATTAAAGTGCAATTACACCTTTGAACTAAAAAATCTTCCAATTAAACCCTTAAACATGTTAAAAATATGTAATTCACATATTTAATAGGTTACAAAAGGTAACCAACCGATTAATGAAATCTAGTTATTCAGGAAAAAGAATCAAACCCCTAAGCAAGATTTATTTACTTTGATTTTAATGAATCTAATTCCTAATTTATTTGAACTTTTTAAAATCAAATGCTCTACCAATTATACATAAAATAAATTTTCCACTTTGTAAAATATTAGGAAATTTCCAACTTTTTTTTTTTTTTTTTGACACCACCAACCTTCTAATAACCCCCAAAAAAAAAAAAAAAAAAAAGCTTTTCATTTTCAAATTATGAAATATATATATATATATATATATATCTTTTTTGAGAAACTCTATGGAGTTAATCTAGACATTCTAGAAAAGAAAAAAGAAGGAAAAAAAGAAAACTAAACCTTAAATTGTAGGTCCCATTTGTGTTTTAAATTTATATTAACAACTCAAGTAACTTGGATCTTATAAATACACATTGAAACTTTTTAGGCAAATTCTAAAGTGGGGAGAAAGCACTTTACCTACTATGGTAAATAAAAATCTCTAATTATATATATATATTTTTTGAAAATAACTATAATTTGACTGTGACACACTGCTGGAAATTATGGAATTTCTGATCACCTGAAAGTGATCTTAAATCAAGTAAAAAACAAAAAGTGGTCGGAAATAGCAAAAAATGTTTTTCCGGATACCAAAAGTGGTCGGAACAAGGCTTTCAACTCGATTTAAGATCACTTTCAGGTGGTCGGAAATTTCATAATTTCCAGCTGTGACATTTCTATAAATAGTTATAGAATAATAATCTATTTACGTAAGAACTATTTAGAAGAAAATTAATTTGTAATTAATTACTTGTAGATTTAATTGATTGAAATTAATTTAAAATTTTCTAGTGTTGTGTTTAAAAAAATATCAATATATGTGATGGATTTAATTACTCGGGGTGGACCCGAATGACTAAACCCAATTAAGAACGTAGATAACAAAAAGATAGAACGAACGGAACGATGTCATAAGGTCGCTAGAAATAGATTGAATGATTCGTTAGGACAATGTCGCCGTAAATAGGCTATTACAATGATTCGTTAGGACAATGTCGCTATAAATAGATTGAACATGTCTTAATGAGACAAGGTGGGTGATTTTTATACACACCCCACCCTCAACCCCCACCCCCAAAACCAGGGGTGGTTACATCTCCACGTTGACCGGGTCCCACGCGGACTGGGTCCATAGCATGGTCGAGCTCGTCACAGGCTGGGCTCAGCCCATGGCCGAGCTCCTTAGGCCGAAACCTCCACGACCCCAGCACCTTGGCCCGAGGTGGCTCAGGTCGTGGCGCCTTGGATCCGTCTCCTCGGGTCGGTTCGCTCCAAGCATAATATATCCATCAATATCACCGCATAAGTAAAACTCTAGTTATTTATAAAAATACAATCACCTATTTCTATTTAGGGTGAGTCTCATGTGAAACTGTTTTACAGATCGTTATGACTTTATTTGTGAGCGGGTCAAATCAAGATGAAAATGTAATACTTATGCTGAAAAATGTAATAATAATTATAAAAAAAAATTATTTGTTACTTATAATAAAAAATGTAATATTTAGGGACTGAAGGGTTATGTACTTATGAGAAAATGTGTAATATCAATTATTGATTGATAAATTGATTGACTGTTACTCATAAGATTAAGTGTAATACACACACACACACACACACACAAACACACACACACACACACACACACACACACACACACACACACACACACACACACACATATATATATATATATATATATATATATATATATAATAAAATGTAATGCTTTTAAATAAAAATATAATATTAGTGGTTGAAGAGTTACTTATGTGAAAAATTATACTCCGTAATACTTATGAAGAAAAATGTATATTTATGAAAAATTTAATTCATTTCATAAATAAAGATATGTGAGACAGCGTCATAGAAAATTTTGTCCGCTATTTATAATGTTACTATGCTTAATCGACATTATAGGATTTTTCATACATCTTATTTCCTAGCTATATTGTTTGAATATAAATTATGTAAAAGAAATGAAGTAAAATGTATGAGTTAATTCAATTTTTGGTACTAGATTTATGTGGCAATAAACTTTTAGTATGTTTTTTTAGGACATTCACCTTTGGTTGTAATATGAATATTTTTTGTCTTTTATCAATAAAATCATTTTTATGAGGACTAGTGACTCGGTTACAATGTAGTAGTATTTATTCATAGTTACTTTCGCATCTTACTGAAACACAAAGAGTCAATACCGTCCTTACTAAAGGCAAGCCCATGACCTCTCATTTGAGAGAGAGAAAGTCACTTTATGACACTAGACCTCAAGATCATTGACACAAAATCATTTAAATGTACTTAAATACAAGACAATTTCGGTCTTCAAAAAAAAAAAAAAAGTCGGACCATATGAAAAAAAATTTCGTGCACACAGTGCTTCTCATGGAGCTCAACGGTTGCTCACCATTAGATGCGTATAAAGACACCACAAACACAGAAAGCGCTATCAGCATTCCCCATTTGAACCAGTATATATATATTATTAAAAAGTAGGATTAGTTGATTAAGATGAAATTAGTAAAAAAACGATGGTGTAATTATTGGATGCATGGGTGTAGACGATCCACCTTTATAAGCATTATTACAGGAAAGCTTTGATAATTTGGGATGATTTCTTTGTTTCTTCTGTTTGGAGGGTGAAAAGATAAAAGAGATTCAAATGACGATCTAATCATCATCTCCTCCCTCCTTGCCTGCAAATCTGCAATGCCCATCCATGATCCATCCTACTTTTCTTCCCCCCATCATCCTGGCCCACTCACCCCTACGCCCCACGTGAACTCCCCCTGCCATTTCTGTCATCTTCTTCAATCTTCAATCTTCATTCTTGGCTTTACCTATGATTATGATTTTTGAATTCAAGAACCAAGACAGCTTCGTTTCGTTTCGTTTCTACAATACACCCACCATAATTCACATGATTAATTTTTCATTTTTTACAAATTTAATTTGTTTTTCGATCTCTTATTTCTTCTTTCTGGGATCTTAATGATGATCATGAGGTGCAATTCCAGTCTACTTCCGGTGAGTACCAATGGAGTATGGGAGCTTGCTCGTCTGAGAACAGACTACTGCATGAGTCTTCGCCTCCGAAAAAATTATGCTCCTCGATCTTCACCATCTGCGGCTGATACGCCGCCGCCGCCTTCCCACAAACATCGCCGAGAAAGGCGGCCGCCGTCTTCGGATTCTCCGAGAATTGGTAGCAGTTGATTGATGGCGGCGAGGAGAAAGAGGCGGCGTTTGATATCATAAAGATGGCACCGCCTGCGGCGTTGGCGGCGGCGCCAGCTTTGGGGCTGTTATCCTCGTTCAAGATGGCGCTGGAGTCGCTGTCCGACGACCCGTCTTTGAAGTCGGCGAAAAGTGAGGCGGTGACTAAACCGCCGCCGCCATGAAAATCCTCGAGGTTGAGTTCTGCAGTTTCGTCCTGCTTCGCCTCCTCGTCGCTCTCCGACTCCACCGCCTCTTCCTTAACCGTAACTTTGCTCTCTCCATTTTCTCCGTCCAGCTTCGCCTTCAGCTCGCCGATCTGAAAGTTTGAAACTATTATTAGAATATAGAAATTAGATAAATATATAAACAATATTATTCTTTCCATATATAAATATATATATATATATATATATATATATATATATATATATATATATATATATACCTCTTTGAGGAGAGATTCATTGTCATGCTGGAGAGCTTCAAACTTAAGCTTGAGGGAATCATAGTTGGTTTTGAGGACACCGTAATCTCTCTCCAACTGCTTCGTCTTCCACCGCGCGCGGCGGTTCTGGAACCAAACAGCCACCTGTCTAGGCTGCAGGCCGAGCTCTTGAGCCAGCTTCACTTTCCTCTCCGGTTCCAGCTTGTTCTCCACCTCAAAGTTCTTCTCCAAAGCCTTCACCTGCTCCACACTCAGACGCCTCTTCTTCTCCATCATCGTCATTGCCCCTCCTCCTGATTCTTCTTCTTCAAACCCCTCCAGCATCGTCTGGAACTCCCTCGAGTACACATGGCCGGGCTCATCTGCAACCAAATCCGCAACCAAATCCAACCACCAATGTGAGCATATAGTCATGCAATCCAACTATCAGCTTAAGCTTTTAGTTGAGATGGAACACATGCTTCAATTACCAAAAACATCTCAAATTTCTAATAATAATGAGAAACATTAAAATCACTGAACAGAGTAGAAAGAACATCATTAAACATAGGGAATATAATTTTGGAGAATTAATTAAGCACCTGCGGTGGTTGGACAGATGGACATCAAAGCACCCAAGGAATCAGAGCTACCAAGTGATCTCTTCATGGCTATAATTGATCAGTGAAGTATGTAGTACCAAGTGGTTCCACTTCTTGAACACAGTTTTACAAATTTAGATCAGATCAGGTCACCCCTTATATATACATATAATATAATATGCTTTTTGCTTGGATTCTTTAGGTGTTTAGAAGTACAGCAAACTAAAAGACTCCATCTTTTTACAGAGAAAAAAGAAGACGACACTATAGTGTGGAATTATGGAAGCCATTTTTGTCTCCTTCGAGTACAAAAAACTCCATCTTTGTGCTACTTCATCCACCTCTGAACCCATCAAAGAAACAAGAAACAAGAAACAAGAAAATCTGGAATGATAGCTAGCTAGTTACCAATAAGAATTGCTAAACCCAAACACCCTCTTTTCCCATCTCTCTCTCTCTCTCATCTTTCTTTATGCGAATCATCACTCAATCAATTGTTCAACAACAGAATTGTTAATGTTCTAGAGAGAAGTTTAGAAAGGGAGAGAGAGAGAGGAGCAAAAAAAAAAAAAGAAATAGAAAAAAGAAAAAACTAGTTCAGATCCCAGCTGGCCTTCCACAACTTGTGTGTTTAAATAAAACCAAACTGGGGTGAGATTGAGGGTTAGAATCTGACCGGAGTTACATTCCAAAATCCAAATGAAACTTTAATTCGGTCTAAATGCAAATTCGGGTTAGGTGACCGGTTACTGCAGGTAAGCCGCTTGCATGGGCTCGGCTCGGCTAGGCTAATGGCGTCACTATATCCCGGATTCCCGGTCAAATCGATCGGCTGTGCATAGTCGGTGCGAGTAATCGCCAGGTGTTAATGCATGGTTAATCCTAAATCCTAATCCACTCATTTTCTTTCATTTGTCACAGCCCCAGATTTTTCAGCGATTTGGAAATACTTGCAAGTCTTTCAAGACAAAATACTTCACACTTCTTCCCATTCCCAATATTTTATTTATTTCACCAAATTTTATACTCCCTCCTCACATTTTATGCGTCTAGTTCACTTAACGAGTCTAGATTGAAGTTATTTTTAATCAAATTTTTCATAATATTAAGTTTAGTATTAATATATAAAATTTATATTTAGAAACTACACTAAAAGTAATATTAAACACCCAAAATATTAAAGAAAATAAGCAAAGAGGAAAGAGTTGGTTTGACCAATGAATAGTAAGTATGATAAATAAAATGGGACAAAGGGAGTAACAAATTATTTTGTGGTATATTACTCTGTCCATCCCATTTTATGTGTCTGGTTCGATTAACCAGGCTTGATTGAAGTTATTTTTAATTCAATTTTTCATAATATTAAGTTTAGTATTAATTTATAAAACTTATATATTTAAAAATTACACTAAAAATACTATTAAACACAAAAAATTAAATTTAAAAATAATTTTAAAAAATACTAAAAAAATAAACTAAAAAAAGTTAGTTTGATTAATGAATAGTAAGTAGGACAAATAAAATAGGACAGTAGAAGTAAAAAAATTAAATTAATACATGAAATAAAATTTTTAATAACAATGTATTGACTTAATGTTTAAGACAACTAGAAAATATGATCAAGCATAGAAATATGATTTTCTTAAGATAGGATATTGACTGACTTTAAACAAATTGAATTATTCAATAATAATAATAATAATAATAATAATAATATTATTATTATTATTATTATTATTATTATTATTATTATTATTGATGGTTTTAGGGTTTTCGGGCCCAAGGAGGTCCAACACAACCTTAAGCTGGTGGATACACCTTTCACAAAAGGGTAGTAAAATATGATGCTTAATAGTACTTGTCTATTCCCTCTCCGGGTTCTTGAAATCTGTCTCATACAATGGTGGAGGAGCCCTTTTTATAGTGGCTCCTCCTCTACCGTCTTAAAGGCTCATGATGGCCGACTTAAAGGGTACATTCAATGCGCCGAGCCGTTGGGCGACGTTACAGACTCTGCCAACGGCTCTCTTTGGCTAGTAACTGGCGGACCGAGCCCGGCCTTTAATGCCTCAACGGCTCCTTGTCTTAACTGCGTCGAAGGCTCCCTCAACGGCTCTCTGGACCGAGTCCTCTCCTAGGTCGGACCTGGGCCGACTCCTCGTCCCCGTTTGGTATTGGGCCGTCCTTCCGATCTCTGAACTGGGCCTCCCTCTTTGGACCTGGGCCGAGTCCTGGATTCGGCCCATGCATTCTTTCTGGGCCTCTTTTCTTGGGCCGGGGTTCTCACCCCTATCAATTATTATTATGATGTTATTATTATTATTATTATTATTATTATTATTATTATTATTATTATGTTAGTCCAACATTCCTCTTAATTCTGATTCGGACTGACGTTCACTTCAAGTTGATTCCTTAGCTTAATGTAGATCTCAAACTTCATTGGTTTTGTTAGAATGCCTACTACTTGATCTTCAATCTTGCAATACTCTAATTTGATCATTCATTGTTAACTTGATCTCATAAGAAATGATATTGGAATTATATGTCTATGTGTTTACTCCTAGGTTATAAGACATGAGGCTGAGATCTGACATCTCAAATACCCTCATCATTGATTTCTTGAAATATAAAATTTTGTGATTATTACATGTAAAAATCACATCATCAACATAAAGGCATAACAACTAAAAATCTCTAGAGTTAACCTTTACATATAAACCATGAGCAGATACACTTTTGTAAACTTGCTTGTTGAATGAATAGGATCAATTCTCTTGTTCCATGTTCGAGGAGCTTGCTTAAGGTTATATAAAACCTTTTGAGTTTGTACACTATCTTCTTTTTCATGTTGTATAAAGTCAGGTTGTTGCTTTACATAAACATCTTCAAGTGGCTCATTGAAGAAGGCTGACTTGACATCCATCTAGTGAATCCTCCTTTGCTTTTGGACTGCTAAAGCAATGATTAATCTCATTGTGTCTATTCGATCTATATAAAAAATCTCGTCATAGTCATAACCTTGTAGTTGTTCAATCCCTTTTGCCACCAAATTTCTTGCACCTTTCAATCTCACCATTTGACTTTATTTGATCTTGAAAACTCATTTCACATCAATGAGCTTGTGGCTCTATGGAAGATCTGATCTACTAGCTCCATACTCTATTTTCCTCAATTGATGCCATCTCTTCATCCATAGATTTCTTCCATTTAGGATTTTGAATAACGTTGATGTGGCAAATCCTCTCGAGTATACGAATACGAGTAGGAATTATAGTATAGTAGCTCGAGTAGTCTAGATCGAGGGTTGGAGGGTCCCGAGCTTATAAGTACTCTCGAGAGAAAATGCTCAACAATTCCCTTTTACAAGCATTTAATGTGGTATTTATAGGAGCGGGGGGTGGGGGGGGGGGGGGGGTAGACACATGCCGGGAAGTCAGCATGTGTGACACGTGTTCCTCATGCACTCGGCGGCCTTGAAGGCTAAGCGGAGTCCACGTGCGTGTGATGGAGTATTTGACTGACTTATAATAGGCGTGGTCGGGTTGAAGGTTTTATATATATATATATATATATATATATATATATATATATATATATATATATATATATATATATATATATGTCCATTAGTACTTATATATGGGCTCGCGGAACCCTAGCCAGCAGTCGGGTCAAGACTGAGCCTAAAAATCGTCGAGCAGAAACTCATTAAGCTAAGAAAGAGCCTTGTCTCAGGTCGAGTCGGGCGAATCCCCACGAAGTTGGACGTAGTTAGAAAATGTCCCTCTCTACGCATGGAGTCGGATCTGATTAGGTGTATACCCACTAGTAGGTATACCCGATGAATATTCCCTATCAAACTTCTTCAACCTTTAACTTTCATGTTCAATTTCTGCTAACAAAGCATACTGAGCGAATTCACCATCATATATAATTGATTTCATCATCACAACTTACCTCATAATCTTGTAAGCGACCTGACATTTGTCTTTTTTCGTTCTAATCACCTTAGTTGTTTAGATTCGGGTGAAATTCTAAGAAAGAATTTGTTTTGGTCATTTTCTTGGATGGCGTCTATAGCATGATCTTGTAAGAGCAATCTAACCACAAAGATAATGAAACTGGCAAAAGCTAAGCCCGCAATAATTAGAATTGGGAAAATAGGCAAACAAACACAAACAAATATTATATTCAAAATAATAAAGGATATGGGGTGAAAAAATATGTGATTGTAATGTCATGGCTAAGAATTAAGGAGAGACAAACACAATATCGAGTTCCAAGATCATCAATCACCAATTCGGGGATTACACACCACTATCGTGATCAATGCAATTCCGAATTAAATAGCTTCCTTATGTGAAAATGTGCGAACAAGCATGAGTGCACACAATCTCGTGTTTGGATGACGGTAGAAACCCTAGTGTGTGTGTGTGTGCAGTTTCTATTTTTCATTTTTTTCTCAGTCTCTTATGTTCATATAGAGCTGTCAATACGGGCCAATAAAATAGAAATATTCAACAATTATACCAACTCTGTTTAGTTAATAAGAAATCAAAATATTTGACCTTTCCATCATTATGGCAATTATGCGGCTATAAAATCGAAATTTCCAATAATAATTACCACCACGTGCATAATTTCAAACGATCGACACCAATGACTAAAAAAAAAATAAAAATAAAAAAAATAAAAATAAAAAAACGAAAAAAAAAACAATGAGGCTTAGCGGCAAAGGAATTCAAAGGATGCGATAGAAATTCAAGCAAGTATGATCTAAAGTCAACAATTGTGTGAGACCAAATCACGGATCTTAATTCGTAAGACGAATAGGTTGAATCTATGATAATTATTTATTATTTAGGATAGAAATTATAATATTTATTGTGAAAAATATAATACCAATTTAAAATAGGGAAAATGGCACTTTTTCCCCCTATGTTATATACTTATAGCACTTTTTCCCCCTCAATTATTTAAGTGACTCTTTTTCCCCCTGAAATGTTAAATGGACATATTTACCCTTAAAATAAATATTTCATTTATTTTTATTCTCCAATAAATTATTACTATAATTTGGTTCAAACCAGATACTATAGTAACCAAACCAAAATATTCCAATTACAATTTATAATCAAAACGCGATATTTAGAGTTTATTAAAATCACGAACTGAAATGGGCGGTTCATGTTCGAAACTGAAAAAATAAAATACATTTATTGTTGAATTTAAACTATTTTAAAATAAAAAATAAAATTTTAAAATAAAGACGGTTCAAAATCGCGAACGGGATCCGGAACCGTCGGTTCATGATCCAGTTTTTTTTTTATTCTTAAATTTAATAAATTGAAATCCAAATATTGGGTTCTAGATCTGAATCATAACTGAAAACTTTTAATTCGATTGCTATAGTGTCTGGTTCAGTTCGAACCGAACCGTGGTAATCGCTACATATACGCAATAATTTGTTGGAGAAGTAAAATAAATAAAATGTTTACTTTAAGGGTAGAAATGTCAATTTAATATATTAGGGGAGAAAACCACCACTTTTAAAATAATTGAGGGGGCTAGTGTGCTTACATAAATAATTGAGGGGGA